AATTTCGACTAGGAAATTCAGTCGCCTGCTTGTCGGTATTCGCGTCAACTTCCTTTTCTTCGTTGTTTACCAATTCCTCGAGATTACCGTGCCATTGATTCGGCTGACAATTAAATTTCAATCCTCAAGCTTCTTTTTTTCACATCAATATAATGATCAATCGATGATCAACGAAATTCACGTCAAACACAAAAAGCTTAGTTGAAACACAGAATCATGATTTAATTAACGCCTTAGGAATTCCACGAATGATATGGTAAGATTCATTTATTAGAAGCGTGTATGTTTGCCTTGTATTACGTCTGTAACGACGCCTGGCGGTATCGGCGGGGGTAATATAATAATGTGGTAAAACGCAGGATCGTGTAACCCCGTGCCGCGGGCGATTTGTAAAATATATCTCACCATGGTGAACCAGCAATGGCGGTGAGATAGTAGGAAGGAGAATCTAGGTGATTCTATCCATGGGGTGATTGCTTCGTGGGGAAAGTACGCGTTGCCAAAAGCGCCCCTGTGTAATCTTCGAGCCACATTATTAGCAAGCTCCTCTGCTATCAACCACTATATCCTGCGAGTACCCTACTCTTAGATATTGGCTACCTTGCAAGTTTCTAATGTCAAGCGTACTTTATACGCTTATTGCTAACTGACCTACATCCGTGTTTCGGCCACTGATGAATTCCAAGTTAGAGGAAACTTAGTTGTTTCTAACAACACCACCCTGGACTATTTCTCTAACGTTTTGATATAAAAATCGGAGGTTAGAGGATTGTTGGTTTTGTTTCTTAGAAAAATGGAAATACAACGGCAAATTAAAATTAATCAAAGTTTAACCCTTTGACCCCAGGATTTCGATTTCCCTTATACAGCTTCGAAATACCATGCAAATCTTATTAACTCGGTTTCTCCGGGCATCGATTCTTTCCGTTATGGGTTACATCCACAAAACAAATATTTATTCACTCAGCTATCTTTGTCTCGTCCTTGGAGAAGGAAACGGTTTCTTTATCGAAGGCTACGCGTCTACCGGGATCCAAGAGATACTCTGGTTGCGAGAGCGCGGCAAGTCCGCCCGCGGGGAAAGACAAATCGGCGTGGAAATAGAATTTACGATGGGAATGAAAGACGAGGGGATGGTTATTTTAAATTCATAGACCGAAACGATGTTAGGAGATCCCTAGATGCTGAATAAACATTTTTAAACGAATGCAAAAGAGGAGTACTTCCAGAGACGAATCGAATCAAGGGACAATGCTCTATAACAAAGTAGAATTTTTTTTTGAAACGAATGAAAGATTTTATCATAAAAATTGATCATACTTCTATTGCTTGTTAGATGTTACAAAGTTTGCTCTCTTCGTTTGTCGTAAACCACGCGAGAACGTCCGAACCGATAGGGGATGATACTTGACGACATGAAGTTTCCAAGAATTTATAAAGAAGTTCGAAGGATGGAAGTCGGAAACATGGGATACGAGAAGTTGGCCCGATATCCGCAATAATCGAATCCTCCGTGGATCGACTCGAACGTTTTTGTCGTGCAAAAAGACATCGGATGGCTAGCAATGCCTTGAACGACGAGATCCACAGTTATCTCGTTCGTTTCGGCCAGACAATAAAGCGTACGATCCTGTACACCGCATTGACGAGCGATCGACAATCTGAACTATCTATCGAGAACGATACGATGTCCGCTCGAGGAATCTGCAATTTAATTCGACGCGTAGCAGAGGATTTAAGCAACCGCGAAAACGTCTCTGTAATATGACGAATACCGAACCATAGATTCCGCGAATCGCTATCGAAAACGTGCCGATAAATGGCAAAATATTGCGATGAAACTTTCCACCGATCGATAACCGATTGTTATGGACTGTTAATATAATTGCTACTTTTAAACAACCCTACAATGTGTGTTTACAGGATATTCAATTTAAACGTGGTAATTATAGACGAGGATAATCTATATTGAAAAATAATAAAGCCTGAATGTTTTGACTTATTTTGCAAAGTAATAATAGGAAGGAAAAATTGATGAAAAATTTATTACGAAAATGGTCGGGAATTTTTAATTGATCAGCATCCGGTTATTTCGAGCGAACCAAGCTACCAGAGGCTTTCCTCAAAGAAAGGAAGACGAGCTTTTAATCCTCGCGTTCCGAGGCCAGCGGCTTATAAGCGTGTAACCATGGCTGCGAAAGCTCGAGACAATGGCACCGAGCCGTATCGTCGGGTTCGTACTTCGAAGAGAAACGGAAAGCCGAGCGAAGAAGAGATTTAACACGGAATAAGACGATTAAAGCTTAGCTTAACGCCTTCGACGCTGAAATGCTGTGTTTCCGCTTCCCTTCGTTCGATGCCAATTTTAAAACTACCCTATCGATGTAATTCCAACACTTGTGTACTTCCAACAAAAGATTCCGGTATTTCGTTTCGCTCGATGAAAGATTTATTAAAGACAACTTTACTGATCGGGGATTCGAAATACGCAAGTTTTGAAATATTATTTTTTACGCAAGATAAAGCAGTTGTTTATAATCGGTAATATCTATTTCGAACATAAAGATGGAAATATCGCGACAATGTTATAAAATGCAACACCGGATACAGTTGCAACATTGAGAATGCAGTGGAAAATATGAAATTATTTAACAGAGAATTATCGTTGAAAATAAATGCAACGATTTATTCTACTGTAAAGAAAGAAAAATATTTCAAACGATAAACAAATGTTCTTTACTGACTCGTGTTCACTGTTGAATTCAATACAATTCAACATAAATGGCCCTAAAATAATGACAAATTATCGTTGCCTTTTAAAAGAACGGTATTCATTAACGAGCGTGTTTCAAAGATAGCTTTCCATTTTTTGCTTCATTAAACATTAATGAATCAGTGGTACAGAGATATGGAAACGCTCGATGGCGTACATCCGTGTGTAATCCTCGTTCGGTCCACATTTGTCGATACGTCATTAAATATTTTCCCCCAATATGGTATTTATGCTGCGGTCGCTGTTGAATATGCATACACGCGGTATCTGCATATTTCACACGTATCAAAGTTTCACGGGTTCACGATCGATCGATCGATTAATTCTCGTGTACCTGCAGCTTCGCGATTTCCTCTACGACGCTTTCCGAGGGAATGCCGTACACGTGTTTCCCAAACTTTTCAAACCACGTGCCAGACTGAAAACGGGACACGAACTATTTATACGGGAAAGATCGCGTATCAGTGCAGCCGCAAGAAATCCTGAAAACTTTCTAGACAAAAAGTCTGTAGAAAGGAGAATTTTAGTTATCTTGCCGCTTCATCTCTTCCGAAAATTTTCAGAAGAAAAACGTTGCAATTGAACTTTACAAATCGCAAATAAAATGTATAGTATCGATGCTGCACTGTTTAAATTAAACCTTGATATTTTTAATAATCTCTAATACCGTCTGTCGCACCAGACATCACTATTTTTACTGCGGCCAGTAGTAAAGGTCAAGCGTTAGTCAGACGGCGAGCGCATCTCCCGCTAGTAGTAGGCGTCGAGCATTAGTCAGACAAGCATGGAATAAAGCATTTAAGAGTGGATTTTTAAAACTTTCTTTGGTAATTCATTTAAGCACCCACAATGGAATTATCCTCGTGTTTCGTGCTTCCATCTTTATGCAGATTCTTGGCAAAAGACAAACAATGTACCGAGAAAATAGAAACTCGGAGGAAGGAAATGTTTAATCGGCTTCTGTTTCCCGTTTCAATTTTCTAGTTTCGTTTCAGCCAGCTGTTTCTTCCATTACTTTTTCTGGCAGTGTTTGAGTACGTCCCGTTGTTACAGTGGCCATTTTCGACCGTTCGATTTAATCTCTTTAAAACTCTGATAGCATCCGAGGGAAAGAATCAAAGGAATTATTCGCTACGTCGGTCAAATCTGACTCGGGTTTCTTTAAATTTCAAACTATTTTCTTCTCAAGTTAATAGTACACAGAATTCTACTTCTGTACTCTTCAGGGATACCAAGTTGTCCAGACTAATGCGCGTTAATCTTCGGGTAGGTGATGAACACTCTACCAGAGTTGACCCTTCAACGACATAAATGATACAAGGGACGAACAGGAGACAAAGGGTGATTATTATTGTAGAACGTAGAGATGAATGCTATACAATACCAGAATAGGGACATAAAAAAGAAGACTAAGGGGAAAAGGAAGGCACACACATACGACTTCCAGTGACGTTTCAAGCCCGGTCACGTTGGAATTAGATTGATAAGATAGATGAAAAGGGTTCTCGGATACGAGGGAGTAAAAGTCAGCATTACCATTGGTCGTTGGATAATGCACTCGATCGAAGATAAAACCTTCGGAATTCGATTAAGAGTGTGGCTTAAAGCTTGCAGAACAAAGAGGAAGAGAATCGTCTGAACGATCATGGCGGTCGTTCGTCGTCGCTTAAAGGTGGCCTCTTTCTCCTCGTTTTATGAAATTCCTGTCATAAGTCTCTCAGGTAAGTTGATTGGATTCGGTCGCAGCCGCATCTCGTAACCCCATTTTCCCAGGGTGAGAAAAGCGGCCAGGATTTATCGTACGAGCCAGCCAGTCCCGACGCCGTATATCGATGCCACAGCTTAGATTTCGATTTGGACCGAGCTTTAGGCGAGCTTCGAATGGCCACCAATTTTCACGCTCCTCGTGAAACTTCCAATGTACAGGACGGATGAAACTTTATGAAATTCATGAGAAGACGAGCGTGCAGCTGGTGCGACAGGCGGGCCAAGTAGCCGGAGAATATTTTCGCTAGAAATCGGAAGCTAGCGAAACGCGGGAAAAGTTTCAAGGATTTTTGCGAAAACCACGAAACCCTCGGCCCGGCTTGGAAATTTTTTAAACCAGACCCCAAAGATATCACACGAAAGTCGATTCAAACCGAGAATCGCCTCAGGATCGACACCTTCTTCATTTTGAATAACCTTACTGGGTTTAGCATGATTGAGAAAAAGGAAGTGTACTCACCGATTGTCGAAGACGCTTCTCCTAGCAGAATTTCAGTACATCTTTGCCACGAGAAATTGGAACTCTGGAAAAATGAATAAATATATAAATTTTTGCAAGTAGGTTCACCGCGGAAATATCTCCTACTACATGTGAAAAATTTCATCGCGATCGGTACATTCTTTGCAGAGTAAACGTCGAACATATAAATAAAACAGTACGTCTTTTGGAATAAAAATCGTTAGTAATAAAAAAGTGCGAAATGTCTTTTTTACGGGATGCAAAAAATGTAGGATTTTCTACAAGATGCAAAAGGTCACGGTCCGATTGGTCCATCCGTTTCGGAGTAATCGGTGAACATACGTAAAAAGAAGATATTAGTTTCAATAAATTATACAAATTTCTTAAAAAATATGAAATCCGACAGGAATCATCCGTCAAGTTGACTCGGATACCAAGAAAAAATAGATAGTTTGCGATGGAAACGACGCGATGACATCTTTGAAAACGCTCGCGACAGACGAAATGGATTCCTGGCATTGATTTCGGACAGAGAAGAGGTTGCGACGGGACGTTTCCATATGTATTCCTACATTTCAGCCTGTCCCGGCAGCCGATACCCTTCTTTATCATTTTTACGGCCGAGTAGAAGGTCGTGGCACAGGCGTCCGCATATTTATCCAAGCGTGCCGGCAATAAAACACAGGCCTGGCCGCGCATATCCGGCTGTCCCGCGGCTGTTTCCCGCTACCGTATAATATTTCGCTTAGGAATCCGGTAAACGGTTCGAACGCGTATACCTACAAGATTGTACGTCTGATTTCACGTGAAAACGGAAGTGGAAAATAATTCGATAAGAACCTCGACGCTAATATCCGATAGGATCCGTCGAGAAACTTTGAAAAGCTGAAGGCTCGTTCGCTGATTCGTACGGTTCATCGGAAAATTATTCAATTTAATAACGAATTCATTCGATGACGCAGAGCAACGTTACGCGGAGAATTCTGATTCTCATTGAAATTTCAAATTTTCGTTTCGGGGAAGGGAATCGACGAAATTATGCATTTTGTCGAAATGAATAATTATATTTGGTTGGTGAAACGATGTACAGTGATTCGAAAAACGAAAGCACCATGTGCGAGTGCTAATGGATGAAATTGAAGAACAATTCATTTAACACGGATAGAAGAAGAAATATTGGGAAGGAAGTCCATTTTAGCAATAGGAAGCAAGTATCGTGTTCGAACAGAAACATAGCAGGAGGTACGGATCGATATCGAAAGAATTTCTAAGTTTTCTGCTTCGTCGGTCCAACGAGACCAAGTGCCAACATTGATCGTGGTTGCAAGTCCCCAGTGCCAGTGCTTTTCTGAACGAATTTTCAATATTTAGAGAGAAGCACGCCGGAAAGGAACGAGTTGGTAGCGAAATCACATAGTCCAAGTTCCCTCATCCCGATCCTCGGATTCCGGGATCGTTCTCATCGATTCCTCGAGTCGCAGTCTTGTCTGTATTTTACCTATCCACGGGAAAAGCGAAGGAAAAATCGTAAAGAATCGAACTAAGTTTCAACTTTCTAAATTTTCTCTCGTAACGGATGAAATCGTCGAGGCGACGCGTTTAATTCCCGTAAAGATGAGATTTGTCCCGAAGCTTCATTCGTGAAACGAGTTAAAAGGAAATCGTCAGGTATCGAGAGTCGAGTCGCAAATTTAATAATAGAAAAAGTTTCTAGTATTACAAATTTAACAAGAAACTCCCGAGTCGAACGGTCGGGGTCTGGTGCTTCGCTCGCTTTCTAAAGTTTCCCATCTTCCGTTGTTCGATTCCTAGCATTCGAGGATCCTTGCTATCTCAGCCAAAGGAATTCTATGGAGAAGTCGATATGTGAACGTCGGTTAGAGAAGCTAGAGAGTTTCGAACGACGAAACTTGATCCTACCTTCTCCAGTTTCGCTTCAGCCGATGAAATCGTTTAATTAATAGAATCTTATACTAGCTGTTAGCTCTTTGTCTGCGAACGATATTGATTCAAACGAAATGCCACGCTCTATTGGATCGAATGGATATTAGCTCTCGAACCACGATATCTAGTAATCAAGAAGATACGCTTAAAATTTTCATTCGGGAACCATATTTTATTCATATTTCCCTATAAAGGCTGACGAATAGTCTTCCAACTTTCCTCCTAACCCTTGTAATTACAAAGTAAATAAGGAGGAATTCAACTTATCCCCCGAATCCCTCCTTCAATCTAAAGCTTTCTTCTCACAGAAACAATCGCCAGTCATCGTTCTTCGCCGTTCCCGTACAAAAGGGAAGAACCATTTCGCGTCCATTTCTGTTTCACGCTATTCGTAGTCCTCGTGGCGGACAGAAGCGGACCAGAGTCACGGGCACGAAGGCGTGGAGAGAGAGACAAATAGTCAGGCAGGGAGAAAGCAAGCTATCGCGGGTACGGTAATCCCAGGCGTGTTTTCTGGGTCGGTTGCACCCAGGATTGCGGTAGCCTGGGTGCATTGTCTCCGCGAAATACGGCCGCGGAAGAAACGAAAATTATGCCCATCCCCGTCCTCCGTTGCGAAATGCTTTATTTCCTGTGCCGGCTGGTGTTTCCTCTTTCACGCGCTCCTCCTCTTTCCGTCCAAGCGACCGCACAGAGTGGCGACGAGGTCATTTGCCTTTACGTGCAGTCATAAAGGTCCCAGACGTAACGTTGCCTCGTTCGCCAGAAGAGATCTCTCCGTCTCTCTCTCTCTCTCCTCTCTTCTCTTCTCTTCAAAAACAGAACACCGAGAGACGTTAGAACCAGGATGGAACAACGAAACGACCACACAGTCACCGACAAGACAAACAAGAAGAGTTAACAGGAGAAAGGACACCGTTTTCATGAAACAACCCAGTCTCGTTTCGAACGAGTTAAGACGTTGAATGATGGACGTCCACGAAGAAGCTAGAGAACGACGACGGAGTAGGAATTAGGGGATAAAACACGCGAGTAGTCGCGTGCCACTAGCTACGCCCGACGCTTTCCAACCCCATTTTGCTGCAGAACCTCCTTCTTCGCACCCTTACCCCGAATGACTGGGCTTTTTTCTTCGTTCACCTTGTTCCAGGATGTCGAACCGAAGGTATCCCAGCGGCAACTTGGCAATCGAGTCGAGTCAGAATCGATCAATAGAGACTACGAGTCCGTGGTAACGGGATTACCAGGGAAATTTAAGAATTAAGCGTGATTCCGTTCGGTATCGAGCTACGCCGACGCTCGTCAGGTTGAATTACGACCGGTAATACCCCCAGCGGACGTTCAAACTATTCCTCCGGTTGAAAATCGAATTTTTAGCGAGCCGGTGAAGTATCGAGGGTAATAATTAAAACTGCAAACTCTTGTTCACGACCAGACGCGTCCCGGTATAATGGAAATGTGGCGAGCAGAGACGAGGAAGGATCGATGAGGAACGGAACTATCGTGTACTCGAGCGAAATGTTATGTATAATACATACGTTGTAACTCTAAGCGAGGAATAAGTGATCAGAAAATTTTTCCAATAAAAAATAATTCGTGCAAAATTCCATTCGCAATTTTTATTCAAATAAAATTACCATGAATAATGCTTCCCCGTCCTTTCAATTTCCATTCGATCGCCAATATATAATTTTATTTAATATTCTAAATTCTTCTATACTTTTATTATCAAATGAAATTTATAGAATCCCCTAATATGTACATTCCCTCTGGGATTGGAAAGGAAGATGGAATTATCAGCTATTAAAACGAACCAGCGAACAGTTCGAGCATGGGAATCGTTTCTGTTAATTATCATTAACAGAACGTGCAGATCGCAGAAACGCGCGAGTTGAACCAACGATTAGGAATCTGTAATCTGCACGAATGTCGGGGTCGAAAAGTGATTTAGGATAGGAAATCGAGAATTCCAGGCTTACTTGCATAATTAAGCACAGATATCGTGGTGCAATTGATCGGAAGCTTCGCATTATGCAACATTATGCGGGACCACGATAACCGTACAAGTCAGTGTATACTGATTAGCCCAGATTTTAGCCTAATACAAATTAGAAGTACCAGTTTCTATCCTGCGTATCGTCGACTTGCTATAAGAGTAACACATCTTGAAAATCAATTTCATGGGAGATTTTATCTCAGTTTTGTTGCAAGAGTACTGGGATTTGCAGGGAGTCGGACAAATGTTCGGCCTGTTCCACTTGATGCATTAAGTGACTGTTTTCGTTATAATCGGATTTACCAATATCGGATTACAGGCTTCGATTCACGTCGAAGAATTCACGAAAGACTAGCCAAGAGGGACAGAAATCTGCTACCGTGAAAAGAATTTTTATAAATGGATAAAATATCGAAGATTTCAAGTCTGAAAGCTTTATAATCTGCTCGATTATTGAATATAACTCTGGCAAATATTGAAACGGTATATCACTATGAAAACATCAGATTACTTTATAAATAAATCTTTAATATTATCTTTTCCATCCCAGTATAATAATTTCTGTATAAAAATATGAAATATAAATCTTCGGAAAGAAGATAAAAGCGATCATGAAATCTCAGGTCAAGTATCAAGGAGACAGTTTCTTTTCATCAGACACATCCACCCTAAAACACAGCGGAGAAACGTAACACCCTCGAAAGGGAGGAGAAAACCAGGGGCAAGATTATGAACGCTTATTGTATTTGTCCCAACAGAGACTCTTTATCTAATTCCGTTCAACATCCTCCCTTGATGGACGCACAAACAGCCGGCCCCTTTCAATTCGAAGCCGACACGGTCATGATACACGCTCGTCAACGTTTATCCAGCCCTTGAAAAACAGCCGAAAATATTGTCGTCACGGTCGCGCGAGGGACGAAATCTTTTCGGTCGGTCCCGTTGGTCGTTTCCCCGACGAAAAGCTCGAAAATGGGAAAGGAACGACGACTCCTCGTGTCGTCGACGAAATAAGATACTTCGTGAAAGTAATTTCCCCGGGAAAAGTAAGTTTTCGCCGAGTAATAGGTTCCGCGCTTGCCGCCGTGGTTCCACGATCGTCGTTGCTCCACGTATTCGAGGAA